GATGGACCTATGACATGCCTACTGCCAACCCAAGCAAATGTCTCCCTGAGCAGCTATCTCAGGTTGGCAGTGAGACATCTGGGCCACCCTATATGAACTAAATAAAAGAAGTCCTCTTGGCACACACTGGGTTCTTCCTTCCCATCTCATCAGGGGATTCTGCTAACTACCCTGCTCCTATATACTGAGTAGAAAGGAAAGCCAGTCAACTTATTGAGCATGGTAGGAAGCTGCAGAAGTGCTATAAGACTTCTATTTTTTGACCTGTTAGGACATGGTGTATCCTGCAGTAACCTTTTTCAAGCAGTCCATCTTAAATTGGTTGCTTGGTGCCACACTGTCATGACCCTTGAAGCCTTGCTTGGTTTTGTCATAAGGGTAAGGTGATCTTCCAGGAAATTAGGTCTAGCCACAAAGATTTGCTTAGCGATGAAGACATCAAATACAGTGATACCCACATACCGATTATAACAGCACAATTCGTGATAGCTAAGTCTTGAAAGTGGCCTGTACACCCATCAACAGATGAAAGGATAAAGAAAATGTATTACTTACCATAAAAAAGAATAAATCTGAGTCATTTGTAGAACAATGGATGCAGTTTGAGACATATACTAATTGAAATGAATTACACAGAAGGTTCAATATTGCATGGTTTCTCTTATATAAGAAATGTAATGTAAAAAATTTAAAGAATAAAATAAAAGCTAGATGACCGGAAATAGGGAGGCAGACCTTGTGGAAATACATGTTGATCTGGGGGTGGGGAGAATGGTAAGAGGAAGAGGAAGTAAAAATGCTTAAGATGGGATCTGTATGTGTACCAGTTCCCCAAGATGACTGTGACTATGTATTGCAAACATAGATGTGCACATATTTCAAGAAAAGAAAAACTTGTGTAAATACTTGAATCCTAAATTTATCGAGACATTGTGAGATGAATACAAATTACTTTTGGTCTCTACAGTTATAAGAGGTGTTCATGGTGGTGGCCGTTAGCTTCTAGGCATTTATTAGTACAGTGACCTGCTGCTTGGGTAACCTTGGTCCTTGAGATTGCTGCATACACATTTTCAATTTCTTCTCTAAGGGAATTGAAAGGGCTGGCAGTGTGGTGAGTCTCTGTGACATACATCTTTAGGGTCCCCTATACAAGGGTAACACTGTCTATTGAAAAAGTAGCATACTATTTTTCCTCTTCCTGATATGTATCTACATTTTTTGGCAGACTCTGTACACTAATAGAAAGTGAAAAAAAATCAAGAATTCACTTAAACTTTTTTGCTCCCTGATTAAAATCCTCTAGCCCATATTTGGGCGACCTGTCACTGCTCAACCTGTAAACACTGATCCACTCCAGGTCATTATCAAGCAGGACGAGGGATCCTCACTGCCTTACCTCCAGTTGGACAGAGGCTTGTGGTACCACATCCTAGGGAGTCTTCTTTTATTTCCAAACCGTACCTATGTTTACTTCCTGTTCCAGAGAACCATGTCTCTATCATAGTCCAAATCTTGTTGCCAAAGCTGTTGCGTTTTAGAATTTGATTTCTATTGCTGATTCATGGTCATTAGCAGAAGACACAAGACTTCTGAGTCAGAGACAAAAGACTTATTCACAGCACAGCAGGCAACACAAGCACCAATTATTTGAATCGGTTTTTGTCATTTCCTGGTCCCACAGTGAGATGAGTGGGCTCAGAGGGAAGCTGTGCTGTGCTGGCTGCAGGCTGCTCTGCAGCTGAGCTGAGATCGGGGATGCATTGCTTTTAAAGCAAGTGTAAGGGGCCAAGGAATATAGCTCAGAGGCACGGTGCCTGCCTGGCAAGCATGAGGTCCTGAGTTTGGTTCCCGGTTCAGAAAAAGAAGATAAAGCAAGCAGTAAGTAACCTACTCTTTGTCTAGGGGAGATGTGACCTCATCTCTCAAGGTAACTGACTGCCTAAACAACTCTGAAAATGGCCCCCAAGTAAAACATTGCTGGTTGGCACCGAGAACAATGATGTACTTAAGTTAAAAGGAAGTATGAAGGAGGCTGAGGCAGAAGATTGTAAGTTTGAGTCCATAGCAAGTTAATGAAACGCTGCCTCAAAATACAAAATAAAAAAGGGCTGGTTTTGTAGCTCAGTGCAAAGGCCGTAGGCTTAATTCCTAGTTACCCCCCCCCCACACACACACACAAAGTACAAATTCAAATCATACATCTGTTTCGGGCTCAAAGCCTAGAGATTCTGAATAGGCCTAGATGAGTTATGAAATGTGCCTTCTATCAAGTTCCCTTGTAGTTCCTGTGTCACACTACAGTCCAAGAACCTCCAGAAGAAGCCATGAAAGTACCCTGTGCCATCTCCTACCTTGGTACCCCAAGTACTGGGATTACAGGAGTGCACCACCTCACCTGTTTCATTCTGAGTTTCAGTAGTTACTTGTTACTGTTCTCTTTTGCCTCAGGGCCTTTGCACTGCTTCTGTTAAGGAGTACACACACCATCTGAATCAGTATCCATGCTAAAAAGTGGACTCGAGGATGTTGGAGCAAGATCAGAAGAAAGTTTATTATTAGAGGAAATCTTGGGAAAGCAGGACAAATGGCCAGGGATTTAGCTCAGCGGCATAAGCACCTGCCTTGCAAACACACGGTCGTGAGTTCGAACACCAGTACCAAAGGAAAAAAAAAAAAAGAAAGAAAGAAAGCAGATGGGGCCTGAAAGTGGGTTGCCATGGGGACTGTTTGTATAGGGCAGTGGTGGCAAATGTATGGCACTCGTGCCAAAGTGGACTGTTTGTATCACTGAAACCTAAAACGTTCATCATCACTGGCGTAGGGATTTTTATACACCAAAACATCTCGGACCTCTCTGGGCCAAGCTGAGATTCAGCTATGGACTTATCAGCAAGAACATTTGACTAGAAGTGGGCTTATAGAAACTCAGGGCTGGTAGCAAGCACCACTAATTGTAACTTTTCTAAAATTCTCCTCACAGGCAGAACAAAGACATTCTTCAGAGGATGTGAATAGAGGCTTGGTGTGTTGGTGTCCTGGCTGTCTATTACCTTGCTTTTATCACATTCCTGGGCAGGAGGATCCCACCGGTTTGACCTCGGGCCGTTGTTCATCGTACCGCCAAAGCCCTGGCATCGGCTACAGTGTCTCCATCCTGGGGCCTGGCGTGATGTTTGCTTTCAGCAATCGCAGGCTTCCTCTTATCTTGTCTTTCACTGAGTCACTCTGACTCCTTCTCGGGCCTGGCTTTTCCCTGGCTGCCTGTCCAGCCTGCTGAACTCCCTCTGCTTAGAACACTCCTCTTCCCTCATGGGCCCACAGCGCCCTGGAAAGTCTTCCCACCTTACCGCAGGGTCCTGATCTTCCTCAGCATCTTTTAGTGTGCACCAGGTTTTACTAGAACTGATTGTTTAAATTGCTGTCCTAAGATAGAAGCCACTGATGGAAGGACTGTTGCTTCCAGGGCTGAGGGTGCACCATCAATACTGGATGGGGGAAAATGGGGATTAAAGGGAGGCTTGGTTGGGAGGGAAATCAGGTGTGCGCTTGTCAGCTGGGTGTGGTGGCACCTGTAACCCCCACACTCTGGGATGCCAAGGCAGGAGGATGCTGTGTTCAAGCCTCGCATGGGCAACTTAGTGACTCAGAATTTGTCTCAGAATAAAAAATAAAAAGGGGCTTGAGATGTAGCTCACTGTAAAGGCCCTGGGTTCAATCCCCCAGGAGTTAAAAAAATATATGAATGACCCCAGACCTATTCCCCAACTTATTCCCCTCAAATCCTAACATAGCAGGGTTTCCCCTCTTTTCCTTCTCTCCATAAGTTGCTCTCTTCTGTTCTCATGCCTTGCACAGAATTTGTGCTGAAATGTTTTCTTTTAGTTAAGCAATTGGGTTTTTATACATTAAAAAGCAAAAGGAAAAAACGTAGGTCTGTCTGGAAGCAATTCTCAAATAATGCCTCTTTTTTTTTTTTTTTTTTTAAGTCAGGGTCTCTGTATGTAGCTCAGACTGGCTTCAACGTCATGATCCTTTTACCTCAGCCTCCTCCTCAGTGTTGGATTATAAGGGTACATCATTACACCCGATAAGGGCCTACTTTTTACACGCACAAATACCAATGAGTGTGTGTGTGTGTGTGTGTGTGTGCGCGCGCGCGCGCGCGCGTGTGTGTGTGTGTGTGTGTGTGTTTTAGTACTGGTGATTGAGTTTGGGACTTCATGTGAAGCTATAGCCCTTTTTTTTTTTTTTTTTTTCTTTTAGAGGTAAGGTTTCACTATGCAGTTCCGGCTGACCTTGAACTCTAACCCAGGCTGTGCTCAAACTCGCAGCAATCCTCCTGCTTCAGCTTCCTGACTGCTGGCGTTTACAGGTGTGCACCACTATGCCAGGCCCCTGGCTCTTTTTCATTTCCTTTAAAATTTTAATTGTTTTGAGATGGTGTCTTGCTAAATCGTTAAAATTGTGAAGGCTGGTCTCGACCTTATGATCCCTGCGCTTCAACCTCCCAGAGTATCTTCAGGGGTCTTATATTTGCTACATGCGTCTGGAACAGTATCAAAGAAGCGGCCAGACATCGCCCAGGAACGCGTTCAGATACCGCGGGCCGCTACACGCCTTTTTCAGCCTCTTCTCGGCGCCTGGCCGGAACACCCCAGCAGAGGGCGCCATCGGCCAGTTGGGCGAGGAGGACAGGCCCCCTCCCCCAGTGTGCATCAGCTGTCTGGCCCTCGGCTCTCTCCGTGGGAGAGCCGGCCTGAGTCCGTAAACCACCGAGAGGAAAGGCCCTCCCATTTTCCTAGAGAGAACAAGTGGGCGTTGAGAGCACTGTGGTGCGATGGTTATGAAAAGGACGACCCGGAAGTGATAGTGAGGAAAACTTCCGTTCTTTGTTCTGTCCCCGGTGTGTGGGTCTCTGACAGGGTTCCGTCAGGGCCTGGTACGTGTCTGGTTCCCCCAAATCTCCCGTCTCTGCCCCCAGGGTGAGTCGGGCCGTCCCCGGGGCTCGCGGTGAGCGGAGGCTGTCGTCGCCAGGGAAGGGGTGGTGTCCGTGCCGCTGCGGCCCGCGGGATCCCCAAGCCCGCCCGGAGCGGTGTGCGGGAGGCGCCCCTCCCTCCCCAGCGGCCGGTCCCCGACTCCGCTTTCTCCAAGACCCCGGTCCCCACCTACACACAACGGGGCCCTTGTGGCGGGGGAAAGAAAGGGTTCCGGTTCTAGTTTTGTGACTTAAAACAGTATCCCAAAACTCTCAGGATTGCCATTAAGGCGTTCCTCTCTTTAAAACATCTGACAGCTACTGTAACTTAGTACTTCTCCCAGACGCTTTCATTTGATGGTTCTAGCTTTTCGCGTTTGTGGTAGGAGAGGAAGTTTATTTTTAACTTAGCCGGGTCCAAGCGCTGGTCAAGTAATAAGCAATTCTGGGACGCAGATAGAACTAGGGCTGAAAGCAGATGCAAACTAAGATTCCGAGAGTGATCCTGCTGCAGCCCAATGAGCCATGTCTTTTACGGGGAGACAGCTGGTTCTGGCTCCCTTTTTAAATTGCATTGTTCCCTGATTTGGTCTGTTGTAGAAGCAGGATTGAAAACAGCAGTGTTTGTTCCCTGAAGAGTATGTGTGAACTCCGTAAGAGGATAGGAGGGTGACGAGCTTGAAGTCCACGGAATAATTAGGAACTCAAGGTATTTTTTTCTTCCAAGGCAGACGTCTGTGGACTAAGTACTAAGTAGTTAGAGAAGTACTAAATAGCTGGAAACATACTTGAAGAAGAACTAAGAGTAGCTATCAGCTGTGGGCATCATGTGGCTTCAAGTGCTTGATGGACAGTCGTGTGGAGGGACTGTCATTGAAGCTGCATCGATGACTAGATCTCTGAGATGAAGGTCTGATGGAATAGATGTAGTTCCCACCTCTCATAGCTAAGTCGTGCATTGTCAGAGCAGACTACCTGCAAAAGTAATTGAGGGTTTATAGTTATGTTAGCTCACAGAACAATGAGAACTTCATACCCTGGCTGAAGTTGACCTGGTCAACCGTTTGTTTCCTTTCAGCGCTGTCCAGGATACTGAAAGGAAAATAATCAATTGTGGAGGTCTTAATAGGTATTTAAATCCTGGTATGGTTGCACACACCTGTAATCCCAGTACTCTGGAAGGCTGAGGCAGGAGGATTGCAAATTCTAGTCCAATCTGGGCCATTTAAAAGATTTATCGAGACCCTTGCTCAAAATTTTAAAAAGAGTAGCTCCATGCAAAGACCCTGGGTTCGATTCCTAGTACCACCCCCCCCAAAAAAAAAATAAAGCCCCTTTTCTAATCATGCAGCATTGACATCAACAAAAGTGAGAATTTCCAGGAACTTGAACAGAGGCTGTCAGATAGATTCCCAATCCTTGCAACATTGGCCCGTTAGGGACTAACTTTAAAGGAAGGAAAGGATCTGGCAGGTAAATCTCTCCATGGCCTGTTCTTACTGCTAGGTGGTCTTATTTCCCATGAGTATCTCCAGAAAGTAGGGTTGGCAGCAGAACAGGAAAAGGGCTCTGCCTGCATCCAAAGCTGGGTGAGTGCAGTGTGGAAAGTATTTTTCCTATCAGAAACATTGTTTGCTGATGCAGACACTGAGGACTTGTTCTCAACAGTATGCCTTTGAGTTTCAGCTTTGCTTAATGCAGCTGTGAGAGAGCAGTGCCTTTCACCCTGTGGAGTCAGAGTTTTTGACTTGTCTTTCTAAGGAGAAATTGGGTTTTGTCAGCCTCCTAAGTAACAGGGACTACAGGTGTGTGCCACCGGATCCAGCTTCTAAGGAGAGTTTTTCCTAAAAGATGATTTGCTGGGGCTGTCTGCTCATAAACAGTCTTGTTAGTTATGAGTAAAAAGGATGGCTGGCTGGCTAGCTCCAAGACAGTAGTTGAAAAGACCCAGCTGGAGGGTGATGGTAGCAAGTGTGTCACTTTGATTACTCTTGGGGCATGGCTCGTACCTTAGTGCTTGCCCCTGTGGCGAGCAGCATTGGCATTGGGAGCTACCCAAAACTAGTGACTTTTTGAACTTTCAAATGACTCACACAGGGCTCTTCCCATTTTTGTGCCTTATGGGAATGTAATGCTGTAACACAAATATTCTGCTTTCCTGATTGTTATACTCCTTGCAATGTGGTAGGCATTCACGTGATTGTTACATGAACAAATGATTAAATAGATAAAAACCAGAGGTTTTTGAGGGTTTTATTTTGCTTTGTTTGTTGTTTGTCTTTGGGGGGGGTTGTTTGTTTCTTGTTTTGGTCCCCCTTCCTTCCCTTGCTCTTGATTGTTCTTGTAGCTACTGGATCTATTCTAGATGTGTGGATCTTCCCACAGCTTTCCAGTCTGAAGTAGAAACATCTGCCTGAGGTTCAAACCGTATTCTTAAATACTAATATTACATTTTATCTACTAGAGCCAAAGACAACAGACCTTTTTCAATTATGGTATCAGCTGGGGAGTGGAGATATTTGTACTTAAAGTTGGGTATCAAAGAATGTTATGTTTAAAAAAATTGGTTCCTACTTCAGGGACTTACATTTTGATTCAAAGAGAAAAGAGATATAAGAAAAACTGCCTTCTTTGAAAGAGGAAGTACAGCACCTAGGATTAGACTTTTCATCCTGATGAACATAAATACTTTTGTTTTTTATAAATATCAGAGTGTTAGCAGGGAGCCAGGGATCGGACATGGAGAGAAACCCGAGCCATTTTCTTTGTCCTTCTGTAGTGTCCACCAGGATCTAGAAGACCAGTCCCAGTTGCTGTTGAGTATTAACGGAGATGCTGGTTGCTCTCTTGCTGTATACAGGAAATATCTTTTAAGCTGACTTTGAACTTTTGCTTCAGCAGTGTTTCCTCATTTTCATTCAAAACCTGCTTCCTGCTGAGTCTGCAGATAAGAGATCAAAGACCACAACATCTTGCCCTACCCATGGAAACTCAGGCTGATCATGTATCTCAGGAACCTCAGCCCCTGCTTGAGAGTGGTGAGGAAAAAAGTTTCATTCCACATTTTATTCAGTCAGCAGTTACCTGTTGAAATTCTCATTACTAGGTATTAGGTTAAGTAGAATCCAGAAATGCTAAAATACACACATTCCTTTGATTCACTAACTCACAGTCTTCTTGAGGGCGGAGGTGGTGGGCCGACTGATACCAGTCAGCACAGCTTGGAAGGTTTTTTTTTGTCTTTTTCCTTTTTTTATCAGTACCAGGGATCAAACTCAGGACTGCCTGCTTTCAAGGCAGGCGCTTATGCCGCTGAGCTAAATCTCTAGCCCTAGCTTGGGAGGTTACAACAGGCATTTTGTTTTTGTTTTTTGGTGGTTTTGAGACAGTGTCTTACTATGCAGTTCAGGCTGGCTTAGAACTCACTGTGTAGCTGGGCACTGAATGGGAACTCACTGTGTAACTCAGGCTGGCCTTGAACTTGCAATACTCCTCCTATCTCAGCCTCCTGGAATTACAGGCGTGCGCCACCACACCTAGCTACAACAGGCATTTTTTAAAGGTTTTGGGCACCTTATGCAGGACTGATAACATTAAATTCTATTTTTCAGGCGCTTTAACAGCAGATTTTATAGTCATAGATTGTGCTCTTTAAGAGTATGCTCTTTAGTCTTTTGGACATCATTATATAGGTCACAGGCAGAAGGATAAATTAGGTAGGAAGCCATTAAAATGTACTTTGCTTTTATACATTGTGTCCTTGAGTTTCCAACTAGTTTTATCCTTAATGTGTTTCAGGAAAAAAGCATTTAAGGCTCTTTGTTAAAATCTACTGTATCTAGAGGTTTAGAGTCTCTGAGACAAATATGTAACCTTACAGATTACAGAAGACGTTATGTGGTCCACCACAGGAACAGGAAACATTTATAAGTGCATAGATTTCATGTGGGGGTGAAGAAAGGGAGAAGAGCTTGGTGGTTGTGTTTTTAGTCAGATGGGGCAAATCGGCTTTTTTACCTCTAAGAACTTAATGCAGGAGTTTGAGTTCAGAAATGTGGAAGGATGATGGAAGGAATGTGAAAGAAGCCTGTCCCTCGCCCAGCTTGGGGGAAGGGATGAGATTACAGCTGTCATGAAAAACAGGATTGGGAAGTGTCAGGAACAGTCTGAACAGAGAGCAGGGAGACTCACTCCTGGGCCCTTTTATTCTCTTTCAGCGCTTTCTTCTTCAAAAGTCCCTGCCTTTTCCAACAAGGACAGTCTGGGGGATGAGATGTTGGCAGCTGCTCTTCTAAAAGCCAAGTCCCAGGTGAGCCTTGGTTCCCTTCGTCCTTTTTCTTCCCATTTGTGGATAGTTTTGTTCAATGATATCCCATTCAGTGCCCTAATTCCTGAATCTGTCCATCAGGCCATACTCCTTTCTTACTGAATAATGGACCTTTACCTTCTATCATGGGCTGTTGTCTCTCGTCCTCTGCTCTGACCTTTCCCTGCTTCCCAAAAAGGCATTTCATAAGTAAATAAATTTATTGTTAATTAATTTATTGAGGTAAAGTCTCACTGTGTAGTTCATGCTGGCCTTGAACTTGTACTGAGTCTCCTACTTCAGCCTCCTGAGTGCTAGAATTATAAGCATGTGCCCCCCACACCCAGCCAAAAGGCATTTTTGAGCCCCATTTTCAATTGATATTTTTAGTACTGCCAGTCCCTACCCTTGCTCTGAAATTGTATGTGTGACCACGTTGTTTCAGGAGTTGGTGACATTTGAGGATGTAGCTGTCTACTTCATCCGGAAAGAGTGGAAGCGACTGGAACCTGCTCAGAGGGACCTGTACAGGGATGTGATGCTGGAGAACTACAGGAATGTGTTCTCACTGGGTAAGGAGACTCGCTGTTCCAGTGGCACTGGTCGTTGGTAACAGTGTTGTCACTGAGAACAAGTAGTGATTAACTCACTCTTGGAAAATTCTAATAACAGTGATAAGCAAAACTCACATTTATACAGTAATCTGCAGCTTATAAAGGGCTTTCATCTATATTTACTCAGTTAATTCTCATACTGAGACTGCAGCCAGAGTAGCGAGCATTTCCCTTATTTTATAGGAGAGAAAAGTAAGATTGGAGATGTCAGCTGCCTTATGCATGGTGATAGAGCTACTGGGTGGCAAAGCTTGAGCCTTAATTCTTGAACTCCAGCTTTAGTACTTTTTCTGAGTATTCTTAGGACTTAATGTATAATCCAGTAGCTTTTCTAAAAGATTAGTGTGAACAGCTCTGGGTTTGAGTGAACATTCTGGCACTTGACTCTGTCTCCCCCGTTAGTCTGCTGGATTTCTTCTGGGGACCTCTTGCTTTGTTTAGGCTCAAGGACACCAGCTGCTTTTGTAGAAATGTAAACTTGTTTTAAAGAAAAATGGCCTTCCTAATCTTTAGGATTAATTCCTTATTTCTTATCCCACTTTCAGTGAAAATATTTTCCTGAGCAGTGCCAGGGGGTCTTACTCCCGACTGAGACCTCCTGTATAGTTCTGTCTCTTGGAAATCTGGGGTCTTGATTGTGTTCTGTAGCCACTCAGTTTGAGCAGGATGAGCTTCCTTAGTCTACGTCTCTTTCCCATTTCTGAGTCCTGACATGATCTCTTGGTTGGAGTGAGAAAGGGCCAAGGGTCCTAGTTGAAGGGAACTAAGACCAGAGAGGTCTTGTTCAGGTGAGAGAAAACCAGCTGTTTCTGTCCCTGACACTCATTGCCTGTCCACTTTTTTAGATGAAAAAGAAACTATAAATGCTAACTGTAGACCCTCTCTACATTTACTCTCTAGAAGTAGTGAAAAAGAGATGTCAAATACTGAGGTTGTTTATATGGCCCCACATGAGCCTTTGCCTGTTTCTGTGGGCTTGGCACATGGGGTGTGACTGCAGACAGGATGGCTCTGCTGACCCAGGCTGTAAGGAGGCCCTGTGTCTCTACCCTCCTGCTCCTTCTACTCTGCTACTGTACATCATCACCTTCTTCACCGTTCTCCTCAGCCCTCTCGTCAGTTTTTTTTCCATTTACTGTCGCTTAAACAGTTCTTGCAGTCACTATTTCTCCAGTTAAATCTACAGCCTCTAACCTCTTTGAAGACTTTGGCCCTCGTTAAGCAATATGTCCTTTCTCTTCTAGTTCTGGTTTTCAACTTGCCTGATCATCCTCCCTCCTAATAGCTTCTGCTTTCTCTCTTCTTTCAGCTCTTTTCTCCTTGATTTTGTTTTCTTCCTTGTTCCCTCTGCTTTCTTAGGCCAGTTACCATACTTTGCCATAGTTTCATGCATACATGGTAGGTCTCCTTCCAGTCATGTAAAAGACATGTGCTTTTGGAGCTATACAAATCAGTCACATTAATTATTTTGTCTTCTGACTTTTACTTTTTTCCCCACAAGAAACAAGTAACATTTGCATTTTTTTATTGTGCTAGATGGTGAATCCAGGACTGAAAATGATCAAGAAATTTCAGAAGATACAGGATTACATGGGCTGCTACTGGGAAGATTCCAGAAGGATATGTCTCAGGGTCTTAAATTTGAAGAAGCCTATGAACAAGAAGTCAGTCTAAAGAGGCAACTAGGGAACTCCTCTGGGAAAAGATTGAATAGGAAAATACAAGATTTTGGCCAAGTGACAGTTGAAGGAAAGCTCTCCCCTATGGGAGAGAGAAATGAGAAATACAATGAGTTTGGAAACAGCTTCACTGTGAGTTCCAACCTTATTTCACATCAGAGACTTCCTATGGGAGACAGACCCCATAAATGTGATGAATGTAGCAAGAGCTTTAATCGAACTTCAGACCTTATTCAACATCAGAGAATCCACACAGGGGAAAAGCCCTATGAATGTAGTGAATGTGGCAAGGCCTTTAGCCAGAGCTCACATCTTATTCAGCATCAGAGGATCCACACTGGGGAGAAACCTTATGAATGTAATGATTGTGGGAAGACCTTCAGCTGTAGCTCTGCTCTCATCCTACATCGGAGGATCCACACAGGGGAGAAACCTTACGAATGTAATGAGTGTGGGAAAACCTTTAGCTGGAGTTCTACCCTTACTCACCACCAGAGAATCCACACTGGAGAGAAACCCTATGCTTGTAATGAGTGTGGCAAGGCCTTCAGTAGGAGCTCTACCCTTATTCATCATCAGAGAATCCACACTGGAGAAAAACCCTATGAATGTAATGAGTGTGGGAAGGCCTTCAGCCAGAGCTCACATCTCTATCAACACCAGAGAATCCACACTGGAGAGAAGCCCTATGAATGTATGGAATGCGGAGGAAAGTTTACTTATAGTTCAGGCCTTATTCAGCATCAAAGAATCCACACAGGGGAGAATCCCTATGAATGTAGTGAATGTGGAAAAGCCTTCAGGTATAGCTCAGCTCTTGTTCGCCATCAGAGGATTCACACTGGAGAGAAGCCTTTGAATGTAATGGGTATGAGCAGAAGTTCTCTCAGAGTTACTGCTGAATTAAGTATCAGAGAGTCTACATGAAAGAGCTGCATACCCGTTTTCTTCGCTTCCCAAGTCTAAAGAGCTCTTGCCTTATAACTTTGAACAACTTAGACTGGGTCTCTTCCACCTCAAACCTTTCCCTGTAGAAAATGGGGCAGGCAGATAGGGTACATCATTTTGGCACAGTGATCAGAAAACCTAGTGGATTTCCCAGAAAATAGCCTTCAAAACTTGGGAGGCAAGTCAGAGATTAAGTGCTGGGAACAGAAGGAAGCTTGAGGACAAGTCACCCTTTTTTGGAAGGGAGTTTGCACTAAACGATTTTTCTCATACCAGAGGAGCCTTTCTTTCCAACTTGGGGATGAAAAATTAGTAGGAATAAAGTTCCAGTGATTCTACTAGTTGGAATCAATGTAGTGAGCACAAAAGGCAGTGGAAAGAATGTTCTGGGTCCTCTATTTGCTGGGAAGAGGAATAGAGGCAGTATTTTGAAGCCACTGTCCCCAGTCAGCTTTAAGATTTGACTAGAAACATGCTGTTGTGTTTTGTAATTTCATTAATTAAGCAAACTTAGTGTTGAAGGAGTTGTTATTTTATTGAAGAGGGGAAAATGACCCCCAAAAGGATTTCTGTGATGACTGTATCCTGTAGGACTTTTGGAACTACACAACCATATTTCCAAGAGCTGTCTGGCAATACTGTAGGCAGACCCTCCCATGTTCCCTATACTGACTGAGAACTCCAGCTGAGCAATGAATAACCTGAGGGTACATGTCAGAAGCATTTAGCATTGGCCTCTGACTCCTGCCCTCTCTTCCTCTTTCCACTCCTATGATGACAAGTGATTTACTCCAACTTCTAGTTGCTAAGGATGTTTTCAAGGAGTTCAGTCAACTTCTCCTGCCCTCTGTTCCCTCTAACATCTGGCCCCAGCAGCTGAACCTCTGCTAACTCCACTTCTGACTTCAACAGCCAAGGATTAATCCAAATAAAGAGCAGAGCCCAGAGAAGGAAGGCTATGGCCTGAACCTGGTGACAGGGCCTCTTGTAGGGTGAGAATGGTGCTCCCTGATTTTTCCCAACCTGAGGGATGACCTTCCATTGTTTGCCCAGCCTTGTTCATCCTGTAGCATAAAGGAAGTGCACTATTAAACAGAATAGTTTTTCAGAAGAGGAAACTGAGTGTGTTTTTGTGCAAGGGCTAGATTTATTTCAGTTAGAATACTGACTATAAATGGAATCTTTTTTTTTTTTCTGCATTTCTCAGAAATACGAGGTTTCCCCTTAATCATCCATCATACTCCTTTAGATACTGTACTGTCACAAACCAACATAAAACCATTGACAGTTACTCCTACATATAGGATATTAGGAGCTGCAGCTCATTCTGTGTGGTACAATACTCAAGACCAACAACCAAAAATAGGAAAATGTTGCTGGGTATAGGGCCCCTGGATAGAGTACTTGGTCGTTGGGTAGCAGTGGGCAGTTTAGATTTCTTGGTTGAGTTATTCATAGAAGGATATTACAACCATAGAGAAAGCTAGGTAGAAAATCTGATGAAGAAAATATCTGAGACTGGCCCTTTTTGAAAAAGTGTTAGATTGTATACATAAGGTAATTGATCAGATGATCAATACAGGTTTCCAATTTCACAAAACTAAAATGGAATCTTATATTGGCTCTTAGTATTTGCCACACACAGTTTAACTTTGTATCTCAGAATATGAACAGCGAACCATCCAGCCTATATTACAGTCACTAAGATACTTGTCAGTCATGGGGCAGGTTTTGAAGTCCCAGGGTACACTATATCATGATTTCTAGGACAAGAGTCTGTTTTTACACAGAGAAAACGAAATAGTAATAGCATAGTTACAAAATGTTCTAGGAGAAGATGAAGTAGGTCTTAGGAGGACAGGAGATATATATATATATATATATAGTATAATTAAAGATGATAGCTTGGGTTGGGCAATACTGTAGGCACCTCAAGAGGGGCTCTAGAAGAGATCTCTGAACAGGTGAGACCTGGGGTGATGGTCACCAAACATGAAGGGTCAGCCCCTTCTCTGCTCATTGAAACACGCACTGAAGCCATCCCCAAAAGATAAGCACTTCAGATCATCTGAGTGGAGCCTTCAATGGATTTTGGCCATTGTGTGAAGCTTTTTTTTTTAAAGGTATTAAGACAAGGTCTTGCTCTGTAATTCAGGCTGACTTTGAGCTATATAGCCTGGAATGTTCTCAAACTCACTATAATCCTGCCTCGGACTCTCAGTTGCTGGGATTATAGGCATGTACCACCACATCCAGCCAAAATAATTTTCTGAAGTTACTCCTACTCACTTGGTTCTACAGATCATCCTTGTTTCCTATGCTGATCATACTTTTTTTTTCAGTCCCTAACTGGTCAATCCAGAAGATTTTGCCATTTTATTGGCCTGTCTTTACTGTTGTCCTTGGAGCCTGTTTATTCCCCAAGCTTCAGCAAGAACCTCTGTGGTTTCGATCTCTTCCCCCAGATTCTAGGCAGGCCTCCAACTATAGAACATTTACACCTAGACTTTTTATATCTTTAAGCCTATATGTTTCCCGCATTTATTGTTCCTATCTGAAAATTTCTGTGAGAGTCAAAGCCTGGGTTTTCTCTGTCCTCATCTTCGTGTGTTTAACTAGCATCGGGTCTTGGGCAGATTCTATAATGGAAAGGAATTACTGTCAGTGAAATTTTCATAGTTGAGGCAGAAGAAATGGGCTTTCTGAGTGACATGTGGCATCACTCTGTATCAGCCTAACGGCCCATTTCAAGTGGTTTTTATAAATTATTCCTCATTATAATCTGTGAAAAAGGTATTAGTAATACCACTGACAGATGAAACAATTGATCAGAGAATGTCTTGTCTGAGAAATGGGGAAGCTTGTGTAAAGAAGTGTCATCCAGGTGATTGTTCCATTCATTTTTTTCCCCCTACAGTGTTCATAGTCTTTCCTCTTATTCATTCCAGTGTTGCTAGCGCTAGAGGTAAGGTTCTTATTCTCTGGTGATATAAATAGTAAATTAACAGGTCTGTTTTCTTTTAGTCTCCTCAAAGCACCTATGGCAAACTTACCATTAAATGGTTGAAACATTTCAGTGCCTCTTCTCTCTGTAGAATAAAATTCTGTCTCGGCCTTAAGGTCTGGCCTCCTTCAGCTGGACTCTCCATGTCTGTGTAGCCTTATATCAAAAACAAAACGACAAAGCCCCCTATATACCCAACATTCATGTCCATGAGTGGCACAGCAGGCCTTAGAAACCATCTTGTTCAGGCTGCTTAGTGCAGACTGCACAGTAGCCTGACAGATGGCTCTCCATCCTCCATCACCAGAGCTTCCCATTGCGGAGGGCACACCATTCCACTGTTCATCTTAATTACTGGAAATGAAGCTACAGGTAGCTTTCCATTCTCCAGCCCTGTGTGCTTCCTGTCCAGTGTCTGGGCATTCCTCTGACCCACTTCCATTCACACGCCTTACCCTGGAGTGATGTATGCAATGGAGGTGGACTACAGCAGGGCAAAGCTATGTAATGCCTGTCTTTCCATCTGTTCTTCCTTCCTGAGTGTCCTCCCCTGGTGTTTATCTAACAGATGCTTGTTTGTCGTGGAAACTTTGTCATAAGCTTCAGCTTTCTGTGGAGACTTTCCAGTTCATCATGCATGCTATTTCCCATCAAGTTAATCATTTCCTTGAGCTGCCTCTGCATCTGGTCCATACATTCATTATTCTCTCTGTTCTCATCTGTCACTTGTTATTTGTTTACATAGCTGATTCTTTACTGTGGTGGGTTTTCCCCCTTCTTTTTTTTTTTTTTTTTTTTCCTTTTTTGAGGCAAGGTCTCACTATACAGTTCAGACTGCCCTAGAATTCACTTTGTAGCCCAGGCTAGCCTCAAACTTACAGTGATCCTCCTGCCTTGGCCTCCTGAGCACTGGGATTACAGATGTGTACTACCACACCTGGCTCTCCCTTCATTTTGATACTTTCCTACCATACATATTGCTTCCATACTCAGAAGAAATAATAGTAGAGCTCATGCTTGGCATGTGTACAAGGCCCTGGGCTTGATCCACTGTGTGGAGATGCACATGCTTACAAACATAAAAAAAAGTAAAATAGGTAGCATCAAGTGAGCACTGTGTCAGGCATTGTTCTAAGCATATTATGTACACACCTGTGTGCGTGCACACACACACACACACACATTTTTTGTTTCTAGGAATAGACTTCAGGATGTTGTGCTTGCCTCAGGATCTTGTGCTGTGCCACTAAGCTATATCCCCAGCCTATATTAACTCATTTAATTTCCATAATTCTATGAAGTAGATACTACTATTGTCCCACTTTACCTCTTTGTCTTCACATCTGTCAGCTTTGTCTTCACATTGCCTTCTTGTCTTTACCACGGTGCTTTACGGTTTTAGTCCTATTACTGTCCCTATTTTACAAATGAGAAAAAGTAAGACCTAGAGTGGGTAAGTAACTTGCCTATTGCAACAGCTAGAAACCAGTTGAGCAGAGATTCAAACCCAGAGAGTCTGGCTCCAGAACTTGGGCTCTACATCTCACAGTGTGCTATCTCTGCAAATAAAGTAGGGACTGCCGAGAGTAAGCAAGATTATATTCTGCTTGGAGAGAGGCTCATGCTGGTCACAAAAGATTTCATTGACCAAAGGCATTGGAGCTCAAGTTGAGAACCCAGGTAGAATGACAAAGCCATGAGTGAAGACCTTTGTTCTGCCTGACAAAAGAGATACAAACCTGAGTATTCCGTTTGGTCTCTTAAATGTGTACTGTTTCAGGTACCGTGTCAGGGAAAGGCAGAAAGTGGTTAGAAGAAAGGCAGAGAAAGGGCTGGATTAGGTCAGGGTCTCTTCAAGGTAAGGACCTGGTTGGTCTCTTTTCTCTAGGTATCAGAAGAGGACAGTGAATGTGTGAGTTTGCTGAGTGTTGGGTACTGGAATGAAAATTGCTGAGCCTCATCCATGAATTCATGAAGAGGAAAAGCAATGTGGACAGTCACTTAGAGGATGCCATTAAGAACAGGTCTAAGCTGGATGTAATCCCAGCACTCTGGAAGACTGACGCAGGAGGGTTGTAAATTTGGGCCCCAGTTGGGCAACTTAGTAAGATCCTGTCTCAAAATAGAAAGGGTTGAGGATGTTGCTCAGTACTAAAACCTTGGGTTCAATCCCTGGTACCACCATCACCAAAACAACAACAATGACAAAAACAAGCAGATCTGGCCTTCCTACTACCATGGAAGGATGAAAGATAGAAAGATGAAAGATGGAAAGATGAAAGATGAGCTTCTCAGAGGGGTTAGAGAGCATCAAGCCAGTGGCCCAGACATAGACAGAGAAGGTAAAATGCCAAGAGAGTGGTTTGCAGCTGCACAGCGGGTTTCTGGCTCCCCACCTCCTGCCTGAATGCACAGTGACCCTCCCTGCTGCACTGGCCTCCTGAACCCACAGTGGACTCCTTCCGAGCTGAACAACCATCTTTGGTTCACTGCTGAGCCTAAGAATGTGCCGTGGAAACTGCAGGCCAGTGCTTCTGGTGACCTCTGAAGGTAGCATGCTGCAGGTCGCGGCAAAGTCTCCCCAGAAGCCCAGCTAGATTTCAGGTCCCAGGACCTCTTCTGTTGCCCAGAGATAGGACTAGGGAATTTGGGAGCAGTGCCTGCAATGTCTCCAGCTAGTTTGCTCCCTGAGTGATTTTGATGCACAATGAAGTCTGGGAATTCCCAACTGAAATCCTCTTTTCGGTCCACTGTCAATATACAAAGTGATCCTCTGGATAAAAGGACAAAACCAGCAATCTGTTCACTCTATTCCTAGTCTGTAAACTTATTTCTTGTGAAACTTGAATACCTGCTGAGCCTTGAAACTTGATACCCTCCCCCATCAATCCACCAGCTTCCTTTTACAGCTGCCTCTCTCCCTCAGTATTCCTGACTTCTGCCTGTGACACCAGGTCAGAAACCCAAGAGCCCACCTCTGCTCTCACACCCTACGTGAAGTCACTCTCCACAACAAGATAATCCTTCCATGGCTTTGTCTTCATGACTTTTGGTCATCTCTCTTCAAGGACCCCCCAATTCTTTCCCTTGTAAACTTTCCTGTGATTTGTAGCT